CAGTTTGTCACTCAGCGAGCGCACCATCTCACTCAAGGAGTTTACTACATCATTCAACAATTTCGACTCATTGCCGTGCTCTTCCACCAACTCCTCTCTTTTTCGAGCACCAAGAGTTGGTTTTTCGCAATCACGGCAAAACCAATGAAGCAATTTAGCAATTTAGCAATGAAGCAATTTAGCAAAACTGATTCATGCATTCATTGTCTCTGACTTTATGCAAGCGTGCAAAATTTCAGATCGATTAAACAGGTAGACGCGTGTCAAATATGGATGATAAGGTTTGTGGCAGACAAATTATTTTTCAATTTTTTTAATACTGAAACAAAAAAAAATATTTTTTAAATTGATTAGGTATTCTGTCAATTGATTCATTCATTGTCTCCAACTTTACGCAAGTGTGCAAAATTTCGGATCGATTGGACAGGTAGAAGTGTGTTAAATATAGGTTATAAGATTTGTAGCAGACAGACAAACAAACAAGAAGAGAAGTTAAAGAGAAGTGTTGGAAAAAATGCGACTGAATGTGGGAGCTACTTACACAGTTACAACCATGGTTGACCCACGAGAAGTTCCGTCTTTCAGTTCAGCTTTCTCATTACGTCACGTAGATCGAGAAACGTAAACAAACCCGTCATTTCCATGACGGATTGGTTGACTGCTTTGATCGCATTTCGGTGATTGGTGAATGCCCGTGACGTCACTGAGATCAGTGACGTCACAGGCGAACAACAACTACTGTTGCGTAAAGTGAAGTCCATGGGGATTGAGGGAAACGTACTCCAATGGATCAGAGATTTTCTAGTAGATCTATGAACAAGGCACGAAAAGGAAAAGAATCGGCGACAGGCCACATCAGGCCTACACTTCAGCGCCGACATCACTATGTTATGTTATGTTAATTCCATAAGAGTTCGAGTTGTCGAGATAAAAAGGTATTATTATTTGTTTGCGAATGTTTTTAAAGCCTGCACTCGCGCCAAACTCTATTATCTTTTTCTCATCCGACCCACATTTTTCGACTCTCCGTCATGACACCAGTCAATAATGCTGAAAAGTCCTATATCTCCGACATTTATCACACGTTTTCTCATCCACCGCGAAGTCTCCTGATTCCCTAGCATTCTACATCACTCTCGGTAGCATACCATATTCATCGTCACAGTCACATAATTATTCAATTTCCTCGAAATATTTTAACAGGTTGTTAGCTTGGTTGATGTTGTTCCGTGGTTACACGCAGACAGGAGGTAAGTTTGGCACTTTAATGGGTTTAATTAAAAGGAGCCCAGCCACGGCCGTAGAATTGTCACAACTTTAGGTACTCGTCCTTTTAATTTAATTGAGAAATTATGAAACGCATTTTGATTTGCTGATACATATTTATGTATCACTAAATAACTGAATTTTTTTAACGTCGCATTGAAATTTTGATACAGGATTGTCATAAATTTCTAGCAATTTTTGGCGATTAATATTTCGGATCAATTTTAAATTTATATGCTTATGTGATATATACGCAGTCAGAGTATAGCTAATCGACAAAACTGGTCCGGGGCATACATGGTTGATACTAGTTCAACCATGAGGGTATATGTTTTTTTTATCTAGAATGAAATTACAGTTCTAATTTTCCTAATTTATAATTTTTTGGTTCACGTCGAAGAAGAATATCGAACGCCATGTTGACTTCGCCGCATGTAAGGACGCGGTTACCGTCGATTTAAATTTGTGCTATTAGTTGTTTGCAGTCTTGAACTTGTAGAGTTGTAGTCTTACTGACTTAGCTACTTCAACTTCGAAAGTTCGAAGTTTCGAAGTTCGAACCACTAAATTTCACCAGTCACTATTTTTAAGTTTATGTTTTTTTTCAATTTTAGATCTACTGCATTAAGAATATGTGTAATAGGCCTACTCGGAAAATGTCTAATAAAATTGTTTTAACTACAGCCGCAGGGTAGGCTACAGATTTGTCAAGTTACAGTAGGCCTAGGAGGCTAGGCCCTAGGCTGAGCCCGCCTAGCCTCTAGGTAGCTACCTACCTACAATCATTTCAATGTTCATTAATCATAGTGGCAAAGCAGAGAGTTTTTTAGAATCTCCCTCAAGTTCATTTGTGAGTCCTAAAAGTAGACCAGTAAAGTATCCTGGATACCAGCAGAATCATACATGAGAAATTGATTTAAATCTTGGGTAAACAAGGAAATTAAAAATGAACTGATTCTATAAAAGCTGTGGTTTGCCACTATGTTCATTATTATGCCATTTAGGCACCTAGGTATGTCAAATCATGTGTATTATTAATACTGTAAATAATACAGTATAAATGTTTGTGTGAAAATATTCTCTACCGTCAATGCCACTAAAGTCGCCACCTCACTAAAGTTGCCACGCTACAGAGTACAGAGAAAAGGAAATATTAAAATGGACCCAATACAAACATTTCATTACCGTAAAATGGGGTAGGGTAAACGTGGTAGGGTAAACGCGGTACATTCCGACACATTAAGGACGCATCGAGCATAGTGACAAACCAGAGATTTTTTAGAATCAGTTCATTTTCAATTTTCTCATTTAATCAAAATTTAAACCACTTTCTTATGTATGATAATGCTGGTATCCAGGATACTTTGCTGGTCTACTTATAGGACTCAGAAATGAACTTGAGGGAGAGTCTAAAAAACTCTCTGCTTTGTCACTATGGCATCGAGAAATGAAAAATTATAAAAAAAAACCGTATGCCTTACGTAAGTTCTGTTGCCTTCACATGACTCTCAAAACACTTCACTACGCGCCGCGGCGCCGGTATGGAAAATTGGGCAAAAACCACCCGTGGCCGAGCAAAAATCACCCTTGCACGTGGTAAACCTTCACCCGTGCACGTGAGACGGTGAGACAATCTCACCCGTATTTTTAGCCTTTCCACCCGCACCCGTAGGGCCGTAGCGCACGCGGTTTACGAGGATTTCACCTGTAACGACCATAAGAGAAGTATGCCACAAGAAATAACTCATTAAACGCAAGCCAGCTTAGCCAGGCATAACCAGATCTGAAAAACAGTTATATATTACGGCTATTGTAATAATTGTTTCAAATACCTAGTGACTGGATAGATCATGGCTCACCTATACTAAGTGGACACGAAGTCCGAATTCCGGAAAATTGTGCCACCGACAGTCAGTCCGCGCCATATCGTAATGAGCTGACAAGTGAAGAACGCTTTAATAATGGATTCAAATGGATTATGAGCGAATTCACACAACCTTTGAGAGAGCTGTATGATGATAGTTCAGACGGCCCATTCTTTTACTGGATATAAATTTCTAGTTGCTTAGTCGATATAATTTTCTATTAAGAGTCAACGATTAACTCGATCGCAGGTAAAGAAGCATAAGTGAGCGACATATGTGAATAAAATTATTCGTAGGAAGTAACTTATCAACGCCACGTCATTCATTTAAAACAACTACTAAGGTATTCAAGTAATAAACAAAATCAGCGAGGTCTTCATGTTCCAAAAACATGACTGTGGCGACTATATATATACGTTTCCTCAAGTTACCCCCGCAAATCGTTTTCTAAGCTTGTATATCATAATTTAGCGGAGTTACCATCAACTATAACTCAATATTATTATTCATGTTTTTGCCTTAAGCATCACTATTAATCATCAACTGCAATTGATATGCCGGTAAATATGAATTACCTACATATTTATAATATTACCACTGACCTAGGACATTGCAACATTAAGTAATTCTAGTAGTCATAATCATTTACATGTCTGTAATACAGTGCGTAACCTGGTCTCCAAACCTTGATGCTTTGAGTGAGGAGAAGTTAAAATATGCTTCTTTCCGAAATAGAAAAGAAGAAGAGCAATACGCTAGTGCAGTCTGGTCTCTGGTTTGTGCGCCTTTGCCGAAAGAGAGGGCGATCGGTACACGATACGTTTGACAACAGTCAGGCAGAGAGGGACTTGTACCGCACTGCTAGGGTACCCCACCTCNAAAATCACATGGAGCCAAATCGGGGGATCAAGCCGGCCAAGGAAGGTCACCACTCAAGGAGAAGAGGCGCTCTGCAAAATGTTGTCTCGCAAGATCCATTGGACATCGCGCTGTGTGGGCCGTGGCTCCATCTTGTATGAACCAGACATCCACGACATTCATTTCAGGCCAGTTCTGCCAAAAGAAAGGCGTCAATCCTTTGCGTGTACTGAGCTTCAGTCACCTTTACTGTGCGATCGTTTTCCTCAGAGAAATAAGGGCCAATTAATTCGACTTATGACCCTGCACAGCGCACAGTCAGGCTTTCCCAATTACAGGAGTACGCCTCGAAAGCAAACGCACGCTGCTCACTTGTCCATTGCATTGTGGCAACTGACTAGGCGGGACACCAAACTTCATGACCTTACCTTCCACATGAAATGCTTTCCGCCATTTTCCTATACAACATCTGGCTGCTTAGCGCGAAGTACCAAACAGGAAGTTTCCGTGAATCGCTCTGAATTAGAGAAATAAATTTATTATCAGCGTCGGACTCATTTGGGCCGAAATTGAACAAGGCTCTCATGCAGCACTCATTAAGGCCCAATTTTAAATCGAATGTGATCTCGACGTAATTAACATCCAGCAAAGCTTCATCACACTTCGCTTCGGACTTCAATGTCGTAATATTTTCGTTATATTCACACTCTGGGAACAACACCGAATTACGAGTAGTGGGTTTAAATATAATAAAAATAATTGCACGAAGTTATTACTTAACAACATTTAAATAAATAAATAATAATAAATAATAGCGGTTTCAGCGTTTATTAGGCCGTAGGCCTGTCGCCGATTCTTAACATCGCAGAACATTCACATCATTTTGAGGTCTCGAACTCGCAACTCACTGCTACAATTCTGCTGAGCTTAATTAACCGCCCGGCAGCTGATTGCTTGTGCCCATTGGGGTTAGGTCGAGTCAGGTACAGCCGTACAGTTTATGTTAGCGGAAAGTGATTGCCTATGCCCTCCACACTGGGGTTAGGTCGAGTCAGGTACAGGTTCGGTTGGTGTGTTTCACCCCCCCCCTCCGCCCGTATTGCGTCAAGTGAGGAAGAAGAGGCCAAGTTTCCTTGAGGCGTTGCTGGTCATTGACTTTTTTTGGTGGAGTGTAAATAAAAGATAAATTTCGCTTTAGATAACTTTGTAATCTAAAGCGAATGAGAGACATTGTTGTGAGATGTGTGTATTATAAAGGAAAAAAGTGTAAAATGAATGAAGAAAAAGAAGAAGGGGGGTGAGGTGGTGAATAACTGGATATAAATTTCTAGTTGCTTAGCCGATATAATTTTCTATTAAGAGTCAACGATTAACTCGATCGCAGGTAAAGAAGCGTAAGTGAGCGACATATGTGAATAAAATAATTCGTAGGAAGTAACTTATCAACGCCACGTCATTCATTTAAAAC